GTTGGACACCCTCTTGCTCATTCCACCCAGTGGCCCTTGTCTGGAATCCCAGCCCCAGAATACCCCAGGCAACCCTGGTCACTGCCCAGAGCCTCCAAGGAGGGTTCGGAGAGCCAAGGACTCACGTCTTCCCCTCCAGCCTCTGTCCTCCCAGGTAACACAGTCTGTCTTTGTTGCAGAAATAGTTAAGGACGTGGAGGCACCACAGGCAGCCCTGGGCACCCTGGCCCATGGGAAAGGGGACAGCTGCCACTCGCCCACAGCTGAGGAGGAGGTGGGCATCCCAATACCAGCCCCGGGGCTCCTGCAGGTCACAGAGAGGAGGCGTAAGTACAGCGACCTGCCCAGCGTGTGCTCCGCAGGGACCATGAGCCCCCTGGGAAATGGGCATCAGGGTCCACATCCTAAGCAGACACGCCCCCAGCTGTGTGGGTGGGGAGGGGGCTGCTGTGGCTGAGCTCTTACAGCTCGGGCCCTGTGGGCCTTGGCTACACTACCTGCAAAATGGGGGCTCCCAGAAGGCATTTAGTCTAGAGTGTGGAGAGCAGACGGGTGTCTGGGTCTGCCCCACCTTAGCCCGACCTTGTGGGGCTTCACCCAGAGCTCTAGTTCTTCGCCAGGCTCCGTCGGCGGTGGGGGGAGGGCGCTGGTCCCTGGGCGGACTGTGCCTGTGACAAGCACCCCCTTCCCCTCCCCTGCAGAGCCCCTGAGCAGCGTCTCCTCCCTAGAGGTGCACTTTGACCTCCTCGACCTCACCGAGTTGACTGACATGTCCGACCAGGAGCTGGCCGAGGTCTTTGCTGACTCAGACGACGAAAGCCTGGCTGGGGAGTCGCCAGCAGGTGGGCTGGAGTTGGGGCATGGTGAGCAATGTGGGGCAGACCTGGGGCCCAAGCCCATGGAACACGGCTCTCCACAACCCCTCATTTTGGAAGTAATTTTCACACCTGTGTCAGAATTGGTGCTTGCCACTGCACCATCTCATTCAATATTTTTGCATTTTACATGTCTATCTGTCAAACTGGAAGGAATTTTCCTCCCGCCTTCCTCAATTTTCCTTTCCAAATGCCAAAAGGCCCAAGTCATAGTCCCATCAAAAGCAAAATTTACTACATGTGAATTTAATCACAAGTTAGACAAAGCAAAGTGGGGTGGCCTTCATCATTTCTGGCCCCACAGCTCAGGCCTTAGTTTCCCCTTCGGTTCGCAAGGAAATATTGCCCTTTGTCCCAGACCTCGAGGGCCCCGGAAATAGCAAGACCACCAGTGGGTGTGGGGACCCAGCGACCTTCTCTCCCTTCTCACACTCTGTTCGGGGTGGGGGTAGAAAGGGGGTGATCAGATCCCACCCCTAGAGAGCCTGCACCCTGGGAGGGCGATGGGGCAGCTAGCTGCTAGGGCCAGGCTCACACCCAGGGTGGGGTCTCGGCTGCACAGGGACCCTCCTTGAGCATCAAAAAAGCCTTTGCCCAGGCTGCACCCAGACCCACAAGTCCATGCCGTTGGTGGCCTGGCACCTGTGTTTTCTGAGCACTCAGGGGATCCCAGCATGTGGCCAGGCGCTTCCAAGCCCAGCCCTGTCGCTGCAGGAGCGACCTGACCCCCGTGTTCCCATCAGGCCTGCACCCGATGCCCAGGGCCGGCTGTCTGCGCTCCCCCTCCTGGACACGAACCAGGGCCGAGCAGAACCGAGAGAAGCAGCCACTTGGTGACCCGGAGCACCGGCCAGCGATTGCAGACACATTTCTTACCGTGGAGAGGCCCAAGGAGGACTAGGCCAGCTGGCCCTGGGGCCAAGGCAGTGCCCATCTGGACAGTTCTGACCCCTCGGACACTCTGCCCACCCCATGTGGCTCTGGGCCAGGTTCTTGGGGTGCTCCAGCACAAGCACAGCCCAGTGGCCTTATGTCCCGCTCCCTTCCAGTCCTCGGATCAGGGACAACGGACCTGAGGAGGTGGGAGTGGCCTAGGCCTCTTGGAAACTTCTGTCCACAGGACTGGTGCTCTCATCTGCCAGAAGATTCCTGAGTGGGTGCGGGGTGAGGGGGACCTATGCCAGAGAGAGCTTCTCTGCAAAACCCCCAGGGTCTCAGGGTTCCGGTCTGAGAATGGGCACACCATGCTCTGGCCCATGGGATACTCTGCTATCCAGCCAAGAATGTGGGTAGGGGAGTCCGTCCTGAACACCACCACCTTCCTTTCAATCCCATCCTCTTCTTGCCGCCCAGGGCGCATCGTTGGCACTGGGGCCTCCTCCCCAGACCCTAAGACCCTGCTCGTCTTAGTTCCTGTGGGACAGCCGGGCCCACTATCCTTGGCTCCGAACACCGAATGTGGCACGACCACCTCAGACCGTGGGTGGGGGAGTAGGCACGCAGGGTCTGCCCTTGGCAGGGACACATCCCCACAGCCTATCAAAAACGCACAGAGAGGCATGCACAGCCCTAGATCTGTGCCCCTGGCTAGCGTCCTGACCTGGGGTAGCACAGCCCGAGGGCGGCTTGGAACATGCGGGACCCCCAGCATGGCCCCCAACTTAGAGGGCACCAGGCTCAGCTGCTCCAGTTGCCGCTTTCTATGACCTAAGGGACTGGAGAGGCTCTGGTCTGACAGCAAGTCCAAGAAGTTTTCAAATAAATGTGTGAGTTTGCTTTTGGTGCCCAGGCCAACCTGCCCTGACCCATTTCCCACTCACACATTTCTAGGGAAGGGAAACCTGTTCTGCTGTGGCCCTGGGCATGCCCTCAGCCCGCTTGGCACAGTAAAGGCAAGTTCCCCACTGAGAAAACAGGCCTCAGAAATGCCGAGGGACTTTGCCTGCACCCTCTACACCATGAGCACCAATTCAAAGGGACTTTTAACGGGCATCATCCGTAAGTCCACTGAAAATCAAATCCCATTAAGGGCAGCTGCATGCCCCCCGCTCCAGGATAGTGCTCCCCAGCCCCCAGCCTTCCTGCTACGGCTTCCTTCCACAGAGCTACTTACAAAAGATCTGATTAAAATCTCACCTCTTCCTAAGGCCCAAGCACAGCCTCTTCTCTTTTCCAGGTGACCCCAGCGCTCAGGAGTGAGTTCTGGGGGGCGGGGGTGGGTTGGCTGCTCAAGGAGCAGAACTTCTGCTCTGGTCTCCTCCAGCTGAAGCCACTGGGGGCTCCTCTGTGCTGCTTATTTGGGCCACGTCTCAGGGACAAGCGCCCTGGATTTCCAGGCTTTAGGAAGTGAAGATCTGCTCCTCATCCCCCACCCCAGGCCCTGGCCTGGAAAGGCCCAAGGTGCACTTCGGCAAATCTTCCCTGCCCAGGCAGGGTCCCAGGAAGCTCCAGACCTGGAGGCCGGAGATAAGGCCTGTGAGGAGAAGGCCAAGAGTGAGGACAAAACCCCAATCCTTTGGATTACATGTGAAACAAGGGGCCCAGAGAACAGGCCCTGGGCCCCACGCCAGGCAGTTCCTCCCACCGGGCTCTCCAGAGGAAAGCCTAAGGCTCCCTCATCATGGAAGATTCCAGGCCAGGTGTCCATCCCTGGGCCTGCATCACGTGAGCCCTGGTGGCCCAAATGGGTGAAGGGAAGCGCTAAGGAGATTCAGGAGAGGTGAGCACGAGGGCATCCAAGGCCGGAGACAGCAGGGGTTGGGGATGGGAAGCCCCCAGGTGGGCTGAGAGCAGGCCCTCAACCCCAGAGAGGGGCTGTACCAAGCCTCAAAATGAACAGGTCCCCAGGCTCTGGACAACACAAAGCACCCTCCCCTCCATCAGAGGGAGCCCCCAGACAGGACCCCGGCAGGTCCCCCAGCAGCTCAGCTAAGGAAGGCAGAGTTTACTGGACACTTCATTACAGAATGGGCTCTGGGGATGTAAGAAATTCAACAGTGGCATGTTTTACAAACAACAAAACTTAGAAGTGCTTGTCCCAAGCTGGAAATGCTAATTTTTAGTCCAACCTAACAAATGATTTGAGAATTTTTAAACAAATGCCAGCGTCCGGTCTTGGCCAAGCAGAGAGCAGAGGTGCTATGCGGCAGCAAGTAGGGACACCCCCCCTCTCCAGGAGGCCCTGCACACCAGGGGTCCCGGACATACACATACCCCCCACCTGAGGGCTGACAGCCCTCTACTGCCAAGCTTCTGATACCTCTGGGAGGCAGGCTGCATGGAGAACAAGCAGGACATTGTCCGAGCCCCAGGCCAGTCCTGACCCCCGCCGCCCGGGCTGGGCCCTGGCCACGCTCCAAGATCAACCAGACGATCCACAGCAGCAGAGGGCAAGATCTCCCAACCTAGGACCTGCTATCTTTTGTGGGGCAGCTGCCCAACACCAGGAAGAGGTTACCAGGGGCAGCAACAACAGGGCTCTCCAGTTACAACCCAGGGGGTCCCAGCTCAGTCCAGAGCCCCCTCTGTGATTCTAACAAAAGGGGGTAGCAGGGTACACGGCTTGCTGAAGAAGGGAATTAAATCCAGACACACCCTTGTCGGTAAAGCCACCTACCCTGGGAACGGGCTGCTTTGCCTAAGAAGGCGCCTCCCTCGTGCTCAGAGCAGCACCCAGGTGCTGGGTGTGCGAGTGGTTCGGGACCCCATGGCTCCATTACCCTTCCCCCAACCACACACTTGGGCTAAGTGTGGAGTTTCCTCCAGAACCACTGACAGGCCTTCCACCAACCCAAACAGCTGTTCCAAAAACCTAACAATTTCTCTTGGGCACGGACTTCGATGTCCCTTTTCTTTCTTCTGCCACTTCACTAAACCTTCAGAATTTCTGAACTCAGCCAAAGCCTCCTCTCCTTGGGGCAGTTAAAGAGACCAGCACTCACACTTGCCTGTGAGGCAGCCGTCCCCACCAAACCCGCCCACCACCCCCTCCCTTTGTGGGAGGTCCTGAAGGTCCAAACTCAAAACCCCACCAGGAACACACACACCCTTGGCTCCCCGGGGGGCAGGGGACTTACAGCCGCACCGCTTGCCCCGCTGACTGGGGACCGGCATCTACAACACCCATTTGCTGTTACCATGTTTTAATTTGTTTTCCAGAGATTTGGGCAGCTGCTTTCACAGCCAAGGTCACTAGGCTGGGCTCTCCTGGAGGCAGCACTCTGCACTGCCCTCCTCACACCCCCAGCTGCAGCCCTTCAGCCCCTGGGGAAGGGAGGCGTCCTCCTGCAGGCTGCCGGTGCCTTGGTGCCTTCCACAGACTGCTCACAGAGGCCGGTTCTCCACAGAGGGCCGGGACCCAGCAGCTCCATGTCCGCCTCGCCCAGCACCACCTCCTCCAGCAGCGCCTGCCCACCTAGAAATCACAGTTGCCCATCACAGAGCTGCTCCCAGAACAGCGGGTACTGCCACGGCAAACCCCAAGCCCAACACCCCAGGAGGACGGGACAGCCCCAGGCCAGGACCCGCCCCACTCACCCGCTCCAGCTGCTCTCAGCACCGGGTCAGCAGGTCCAGGTCCCTCCCGCCCGCCGGCGGAGCTCACAGGTGCCCCACCTGCTCAGCAATGAGCTGGCCAGTGGCCTCACCATACGGCTTCCCTACCAGCATCTCGCCTCAGCGGGAGAGGTCAGAGGACACCTGTCCCAGCTCTTCGCTCATCCCAAACGCACAATCTGGAAGCAAGGAGGTGGGGGTGAGCCTGGAGGGACTCAGCCATGCAGAGCCCCCAACGAGGGCGGCTGCCCTTTACCTGGAGGAGGCCCTCTGGGTGACTTTCCTCAAGTCATCCTGGGCCCCTGGGTGACCCACCCAAAACACAGCTGCTCAGCCACCCTGCCCCCAGCATCATGCACATGAGGTCAAAGGGCTGCTCCCGTGTGGGCAGATACTGCTCCCTGGGCAAAAACACTGGGCACAGCTGAGCCCTCTGCCCCGGGGGATGATGGACACCTAGAAGACACAGGCAGACAGTGCCTGTGGTCCCAGCCTCCACTCCCCAGGCAGAGCTCCTGCCCCTTCCAGGTCCCACCTCTGAAGCATCCCAGACCAATTTGCCCTACTATGATCACTGGCCACAAGGGCATGGGAGGAGAGGAGACAGACCCCTGGTCTCCACCCAGGATTTGGTGGGTCTGGGTGGAGTCACCCCAAAGATTAGCATGGAAACCACCTCCATCCTATCAGTCCTAAGGAAGTTCTCGAAGAGCCAACCTTTTGGGTCCAAAGCTTAGGAGTGAGCCAAGTTTAACATCAAATCTCTGGGGTGTCGGGTGTCCGCCATCCAGATCCCACTGGGAGTCAACACCCTGTCCCTTACTGCTACACATCCCTGAACAATCTTTTGAACCCAATTCTAAACTACTACATTCCTTGAAAAGTAAAAGGGGGCTGCTGTGAACATATTGTGCCCTCATGACCAGAGGCCACACGCAGTCACCCGGGGAAGGTAAACACCCACACTGACCTCCAGCACGGGGTCCGCAGGATTCAGGAATCAGCCCAGTGCCAAGTCTGGCCTCAGGGGAGGCCACGGTCACCCTCTCACTGGGCTGCACACCTGCGTCTTCTTCTCGAGGCCTACATATCGGATTCCCAGGCCAGTGAGAGGCAGAGGAAAAAGGGACAGCCGGGATGCGGTGCCAAATCCCCAGCCTCCACGGATGGGAGTGCTGGGAGCTGGTCACAGCCTCTGCTCAGCCAGTGCAGACCCACAGCCCGTCCGCTACACACTCCCTGCCCCCACCAGACACTGTGCGGCCCTCCACTCCGCAGAAACCCCACCTCCCACACTCTGCACGTAGCACACAGCTGAGGAGGCCTGTTCTCAGCCCATGTGATTAGCTCTCTTCTCTGGCTTGCTAAGTGACCCAGAAGCATGGAGACCAATGCCTCCTACACCCTAGCTTATAAGCAGTTATCAGTCCACAGAAAAGGCACAAACTCCCACTGGGCCCAGCTTCACGACTGGTCAGCTCAGCAGCATGGTGGGGACAAGCCTCCAGAAGCTGTGGAGACGTCCTGGGCTACCAGACACCACGCTTGTCTACACACACTGCACTTCGCTAAGGAACTCAAGACACCGCAGCACCGCCGACCCGCCCGTGGTTCTCAGACCCATGTGGCTGACCGCAAAGGGCAGCCACTGGCCCCCAGGACAGCGCCCTGATGCTCGTCCCCAGGAAGGCACTCCAAAGCCCTGAATCCACGGACTGCAGCTCGCGGAGCTGCTGAGCGGGAGCCGGGAGGCCAGGCAGGTGTTGCTGGGAGGAACCATACACACCTCCACCCACCCACCTTCAGAGAACTGTCTCTGGAAGGAAGACCCCAGGGAAGCCCCTCCTCCCATCTGCAGTCAGCATCCAAACCAGGGCCGGACCCACTGCCCTGGAGCCCTCATCTCTCTGAGATTCCAAATGGGGCTCTAGACACAGCATGAAAGCTGTTGCCGGATCCCCAAGTCCCAAATTCTGGTTTGGAAAACCATCCGCAGCTCCTGTATGCTAAAGCAAAGCTGAGGCCCCGGAGTGAGCCAAAGACCAGAGCTCAAAGGCCCCCCAGCTCAAGACCGACGACCCTCTCGGTGGCCCAGACAGAGTGATGCTCCAGGACACAAGGACCCGGGGGAGGACGGCAGTGGGCGCGGCTTCCCCGAAGACACCGGATATGTCAGCATCTGACCCGGGACTATGTCTTCCAGGAAAAGCTCAACTACAGAGACCACAGACAAACTAGGGAACGGCTCTGTTCATTCACTACTGTCTTAGGCCAGTTTTTTCATTAAGCAACTTACTGTTGCATAATTTATTTAACATAAAACCCGCCTTAAGCACATACTTCAAAAACTTCTAGTAAATTTATGCAGTCACCTGCCCAGTGCCCTGGTTTCAGACACTTCCATCATCTATGTAAGATACCCTGTGCCTGGGGCACCTGGGGGACTCCGTCGTTACACATCTGCCCTCGGCTCAGGTCATGACCCCAGGGTCCTGGGATCAAGCCCAGCATTTGGCTCCCTGCTCGGCAGGGAATCTGTTTCTCCCTCTCCCTCTGTTTGTGTGCACAAGCTCTTAATCTCTCTCTCTCTCTCAAATAAATAAATAAATACTTAAAAAAAAAAAAAAGATACCCTGGACCTGTTGTGGTCAATTCCACTATCCACCCTAGCCAACCTTCTTGTACTTTCTGTCTCCTCAGACCTGCCTGTTAGGGACATTTCATATACACAGAATCACACAGTACCCAACCTCGTGTGTCTGGCTTCTTCACTTGGCATATCTGCAGGCTCACCCATACTGCATCGTGTATCCAAACGTCATTTTTTATGGCTGAATAATATTCCGTGATACATACACACGTTTTCGTTACCCATTCTTGTATCAATGGACATTTAGCCGTGAACATTCATGTACAAGTCTTCACGTGGCCACGTTTTCAGTTCTCTTGGGTAGACACCGATGACTAGAACTGCCAGGTCATACGATAACTCTGTATTTTACTTTCTGAAGGACAAACAGATGTCTACAGCCTGTTTCACAGGCCCAGCAGCAACGTATTAGGGGTCATGTGTCTCCATGTCCCTGCCAATCCCTCTAACTTCTACAGCCATCCTGGTGGGTGTGAAGTGCTAGTTCGTTGTGGTTTTGAGTTGCATTTTCCTAATAAATAACACTCAGCGTTTTTTCACATACTTTTTGGCCATTTGCATATCTTCTACAGAAAAATGTATATTCTAACCTTTTGCCCATTTTTAAATTGGGTTCTATATTCTGGATTCTAGACCCTGACTTATCAGACACAGGATTTTCAAATATTGTCTTCCATTCTATACACTGCCTTTTATTCACTGAACAGTGTCCTTTGATACACGAGAGATTTTAATTTGGCTAAGTCTCATTTATTTTTTCACCTGTTGCTTGTGCTTCTGGTGCCACATTTAAGGAACCACTGCCAAGACTAAGTCATTAAGATGTGGTCTCCCATGGTCTCTTGTAACCACATCATAATTCAAGCTCTTAAATTCAGGTCTTTTACCCATTCTGAGCTAACTCAAGAAGTGCAAGGGTCCATTTTCGTTCTTTTCTATGTGGACATCTCACTGTCCCAGTACTTTCTGTTGAAGCCACTGTCCTCACCCCTACTGAACGGTCTTCACGCCCTTGACAAAAATCAACTCGGTAAAGATATACGAGCTTGTATCTGCAATCTGCGTTCTTGGATTTTATTCTACTGGTCTACGTCTAACCTTACGTCATGTTTTTTTCATTGACCTTTCCGGCAAGTTCTGAAATAGGAACATGGGAGGCCCCCAACTTAGTCTCCCTTTATGGGACTCTTTTGGCTATTCGGGGCTCTTGCAGTTCCGTGTGAGTTGCAAGATCTGTTTTTCCATTTCTGGCTTTAGTTAACTATACAAATGCTCTGCTTCTGTGTATCTCCTTCCCTCCACACCTCTATAGCATCACCATCAAAGATGACAACTTTCTGCACTACAAACCTGTTAACAGAAAATGTATTACCGTTTTATACATTTGTCTTTAAAATTGCATAGAGAAAAACAGGAGTTACACACCAAAAATGCAGTGATGTTGGCCTTCGAATTTCCCTGTATTCCTTTCGTATTTTACCTGCACCAACGTTACCTCTTTGCGGCTTCAAGTTCCGGGCTAGCATGCTTTCATTTCAGCCTGGAAGACGGTCTTTAGCTCCCTCCCTAAACATAATGAACCACCTTATCTTTTCAGTATCTGGGAAGGTCTCCATCTCCCCTAATTCTTCAAGGGCAGTTTTGCCAGATCCAGAACTCTTTGTTAACAGCATTTTCTTTCAGGGACCTCAAACTCATCACCCCACTGCGTTCTGGCCCTCGGAGTTTCTAATGAGCAACTGGTTGTTAGTCTCATTGAAGACCCTTTGTACACCGCGTCCTTTCTCTCTTCCTGGATTCAGGGGTCTCCCTTTCTTTGGCTTTAGCAGAGAGAACATACTGAGTCTCTGGGCAGATCTGAGTTAGTCCCTAACCCTAAAAGTCACCGACCTTCTTGGAAATGTAGATTCATTAGCCAAGTTTTAAAATGACCTTTCTTCTTTCAACTTTAATTACTATATTATGGCACAAAGAATGAGCAGAGATGGTAGAAGGGAACTTTACCATCAGGTTCCCAAGGAACACCAGGTTTAAAGTGCCTGGATCGGCCACACGAGGGCCTGCCGCACAGGTGGAGAGGAGGGCTCAACAGTACGAGGCCCATCAGAGCGCTGCAGTTACCGCTTGGTTCTATGGCTCCGGAGAAGGTGTCCAGAGTTGACTCCAAGAATCCCCCACGTCCCCTTCTGTGTGTGAGGACTACCTTGCGATGCAGACCTCCAAAAGGCTTCGACGGCCTCTCAGGGACAGCGGGGTCATGGGATCAGCAGAGAGAGGAGAGCAGCTCCACAAGGCGGCCTCCTCAGGAACCCGTGAGGCAGTTCCCCGTGAGGGGAGTTCCAGTCATCCCGCCAAGTCATCCCAGCCAATGGGCAGCCTCTAATGCTAATCTGGGAAGAACAGAGTCTGGGAGGCCTACTCCAGTTTCTCAACTTTGGTGTGCAAGTGGACGTGGGCGTCACACAGGAAGAGAGCAGAAAGCACATTCTTGGCCGGAAACAGACCAAGTCCTTTGTGCACCAGCCGGATCGGGTGAGAACGCCTCAATCATCACCCACGTCTGACCTGACCTCGGCCCTCGGCCCTCACCCCGCAGTAGGCAGGACACTGGGGAGACAGCAGCATGGCGGCAGGAGACAAGGCTCCGCAGCACGTCCCTGGGAGGCAGGAGCAGTAGCCAACAATGCCTCACAGTCATCATGAGACCGGCAACAGGCTGCTGAGTAGGGAATAACCGGCGAGGGAAGCCCCCTGGAAAAGCCCTCGAGTCCCAGTGTTTAAACCACCCTGGGAGGGAAATGAGTTTCCTAGTACAGGATCTTGGATCTTAATGACAAAGAAAAGAGAAAAGAGCACAGCTCACTTCAGTGGGTCTGTCCTGACATCAGTTGGTCCTCTGCAGCAAAAAGTTACCAAGTCTGAAGAGAATCGAGCTAGAAATTCAAATGGGCACAAATCTTAGCTTTGGGGCTCATCATCTCTAAGGACTCTGATTTGTCTCAACAGATTCAAAGTTCTACAGACAAAGATGGACACTTGCCAGGACCAAACAGCACAAGCACAAAGCGTGCACCAATCCCATGAGCCGCCCCCACCACCCCTTATCCCCGCCCCATAGGCAGGAGCCCCAGCCTGGCCAGCACTCACCCGGGAAGCACCACATGAGCACCAGGAGCTTTTCTGCTAGCGTGTCCTTCTGGAGGCTCTTGTCTAGCTTCAGCGTGCACAGGTGGACTCTGAAGATGGAGGCCCTGCCTCTGACGTCAGGGGTGCCTAGCGCGGAGAGAGACCCACAGACATGGCAGAGTCACCTGCAGCCACACTGCAAACTCTGCAGGACAGCCTGGGGCTCCAGGCAGCCTCCCTGCTGGGCCCATGCTTCACACTCAATCATTCAACCAGGCAGCAAGGACACAGAGATCCCAAAGCTCACGTACACTAAGCTCCTGAATGCAGTAAAACACCCTCCGACTGCTGCCTCTGACCAACACCAAACCCGATCCCAGGGCCGGGACCCAACAGTGAACAAGATGAGGACTGCCCTGGGCAGCGGGGGTGTCCACACAGGATGGACGCTTTCTCACAGACGGAAAGAGCCAACTGTCGGAGGAAGAGACCAGGGTGAGCCCTTCTCTTCTAACCATTCCTACTGGACCGCGGCAACACAAGAGCCGAAGAATATAGGAGTCTGCCGTACCACCCCTCCTGTATGGATGGGAGAGACGCGTCTGCAGGCCCAACCACGTGTGTTACTCCCACAAGGGGACTGCCAGGACACAGGAACTGGCAGCAACCAAGGGCATCCGCGAGCCTCCGCTCTCCGAAAGTTAACATGAACTGCCACAGGAGCCTGATAAGGAAACTGCCTCCAAACACAAAGGTAATGATCTAACCTGACTTTTAACCCAAGGACGTGAAGACCCAACCCTGAATACCAAGTGACCGGCATACTCACCGACGTGAATCAGGCAGTCAGACAGGCCAGGCTGCGTCAGGGCCGGGTCGAGAACGACAGGGCAGCTGGTGCCAGCCAGCACCACAGTGCTCGTGGAGAGGCGAACCCTGGACATGAGAAGCAAGTGAGCCCAAGAAGAGAGCTCAGACTGGTGTCCACGAGGACAGCACTGTGTTCCTAGCTCTCCTCCTCCCTCAGGCCCTGAGAGCAGGTCCTCTTCTGCACAGCTGCCTGTCCTTCCAGGCCCACTGGCCACCCTGAGTGGCGCTTCGCTGGCTCTCCCTCTGCTTCCTCCAAACTGAGAGCAGAGGCTGCTTAGCAGGGCACACGCTCATGCCCAGGGCTGGCTCGGAGAGCCTCTCACTCTGACCCTTCACGGGCAGGAACCCAGCAGCACGCCCGTGGCTCTGGTACTAGCAGACCCCACTGCTCTGGCTGAGACACAGCCGTCGAGAGTAACCAGACGCTCCTCAGCTAACAGGGATCTCCATGTCCTGGTCTCAGGGTGTGGACCCCCGCCGTGCTTCACCACTGGTTCCTGACAGCCTGATGCCACCTGTTACCCCCCACCCAGGGAGTGAGGAGACCCTCCGCTGTGTCAGCGCCCCAGCCACCTGCCGAGGTCTCCGTTGCCAGCCCTGCTGGACTTACAAGGAGCGGGCCTACTCCGGGGCAGGTCAGGCTGCGGAGAACAGGGATGGCCGAGAGAAGTGCTGGTGCTCCCACCCACTCTCACCCCTGAATGGTCCCTCCCATCAGTCTTCTGAGATATCAGAACTGAATCATCATCAAATTAGAGCCACTGCTGGACACTGAGTATGATGGAAGATTCTGGAAATGTTTTAGTCTGTGCAGAAAGAAAATAACACAGCAGGTCTAACTGGTCATCCTCGCAGGGTCAGCTCCAAGGCAGCCCTCAGCGCACTCTGGGACCTGAGGTTTGGGAGGGGCCGTCCATGCCTAGACGGCTGGTGCAGACAGTAGTGTACGCTGTGCATCTGCTGTACCACCATCTGCGGTGATGGTGGTACAAACTAGGCACAGAGTGAAAATCTCAGGCAACCGCAACACCCGTGTGCCATCACAGCTCCACGAAGGGAGAGCAGCACCTCCCGCCCCGTCCTCAGGAAGGCTGCAGCCAACTTCCTTGACCACAGCCTTCCCTGCACAGATTTTGCTCTGGGTCTGTCATCAGCCACAGTCATGGGTATGAGCACACCTGAGGTTCTGAGTGTCCTCCGAGTGAATCCCCAAACCCACGGAACTCCCAGCAACCCCAAAGTGAAGATCAAAACTTGCCACCGGCCCCCTGAGAGCTTCTCCAAATTTGAAAAGTAGCATCAACACTCAGACGTTTCCAGTGAAGCTTCAGCAGACCTGACAAGCTCCCAGACACACTTGGCTGGAATCACTCTGAGGAAAAGTCTTAACCAAGAGGAGAGAGATTTTGGCACGAGGCAGGCCTGCCCACTCATGCGATTCTGAGTCAGGGAAGGCAAAGGAGAGGCTGAGACAGGAAGCAACACAGGCTCCAACCGCACCACCCTGTGGGCACCAAGGCCTAGGAGAGGAGGGGCAGGGGAGCCCCCATCTGGCCGGTCCACCTCCCCAACAGGACTTCTGCCACCACACCCTTGCTAACCCCTCCTGCTGGTGGGCCACAGGCAGGGTACACGGGCCCCTCACCCTATTGCTGACTCCTGGGGCCAGTGTTGATCTAACACAGCTTTCTCCACTAACTCTGCCGGAAAGCAGCCTTCTAAAAAATGACCCATCAAGGATTCTCACCCAGGGAGTTTACAGGAACAAAAGGCTGGAGGAGGTTCTGGCGGTGCTGACGGCACAGGCCTGGTCTCAGCGGCTGTCACTGGCATCCGCTCACCGTCTATCTCCACAAGCATCGGGTTCAGTGTGTTCTCCTGCTCATTCCGGGCTCCACGGTGCCCCTGGCCTTGCTTTCCGCCAATGGCATCAATCTCATCAATAAGTAAGATACAAGGAGGGTTTTTTCGAGCCACTGCAAACTTGTTACGAACCTGAAATGGGAATCCACATAGAGAGCTGGTTTTGCCGCTTGTATAAAAACAAGTGCGGGTGTGTGCTAAGCCAAGTCCCTCCTCTGGAACCCCACCCTGATCTGGTATCTGTGGCAAGCTCTGTGCTCACTGCCAGGGCCACACAAAACGCATCCACCTACCCTTGCTGGCCCATGCCAACCAACATTTCCAGGAACTCTGACCCACTCACGGTGATGAAGGGCACACCGGCCTCCCCCACAGTCACTCTGGCAAGAAGCGTTCTGCCAGTACCAAGAAGACTCACAAGCGCCGCTCCCTGAAACAGAAAGGTGATGCCGGTTCTTCAAGGGAACAGATGGAACCCAAAGAAAGTCCCATTTGTGCATACACATGCAACAGGTGACTTCTAGGCGTCACTACCAAGGATCCCACAAGATGATGCACGAGTCAGAGTCTGGGATTTTCCTTCCAATAACTTCTGCTTAGAAAATTAACGCATGCTTACCATAAAAAGTTCAAACGTTGCAGATACATGAAAGCCCATCCGGCTAAGCAGGTCATTTCTTCACGATAGCTCCTAGGCACAAGGCTTGCTGGATCAAAGGGTCTGAATGTGTATTTTAAGTTACTGTCCAAGTGCTCTACAAAAGAGTGACACTGTTTCTCACTCCCACCAGGAAGAACAAGAGCCCAGCCCCTCACACTGGAGGCCACAGCCTGTCTGCACAGCTTCACCACTGGCTGGTCTCAACAGCAGAAATGCCGACTCAGGCACTTTGGCTGCTGCCCGGCCCAACCGCGGACACGACACTGTGTTTTCCTGTCTGTGACCTGCCTTCTCCAGCGCTGACTTAAGGTATTGGTTTTTTTTTTATTTTTTTTTTATTTTTTTTTTTTAAAGATTTTATTTGTTTATTTGACAGACAGAGATCACAAATAGGCAGAGAAGCAGGCAGAGAGAGAGGAAGGGAAGCAGGCTCCCTGCTGAGCAGAGAGCCCGACGCGGGACTCGATCCCAGGACCCCGAGATCATGACCTGAGCCGAAGGCAGCGGCTTAACCCACTGAGCCACCCAGGCGCCCTTGGTTTTTTTTTTTAAGATTTTATTTATTTGACAGAAAGACAGCGAGAGAGGGAGCACAAGCAGGGAGAGCAGCAGGCAGAGGGAGAGGGAGAAGCAGACTCCCCAGTGAGCAGGGAGCCCGACGCAGGGCTCGATCCCAGGACCCTAAGATCATGACCTGAGCCAAAGGCAGCCGCTTAACCGACTGAGCCCCCCAGGTGCCCCGACTTAAGGTTTAAAATCATCAATTTGCACTCTGGTAACACACCTCAGTGTTCACTTTATGGGTTACCGTCATGCCTGAAAACTGAAGATACTGAAAGGCAGCTTCTACTGCTCCATTTCTAGTCAAGGGTGCGGCTTAGCATCTCATCACCTCAAGAGACCATAAGCTTTATTTTTTAAGTGTTTTAGAACCAAGACAAAATACTCATGAAAAGGTAGGAGAACGGGAGTCACAGAACTCAAACCCACAACACGGTGTTGCACCCCACGTCCCCACGAACACGGATGAGGGATTCAGAGTCTGCATGGGTCCATCTCTGCCTGTCGTGTGACCACACACATAGCCAATTCTTCTAGACAAGGAGGCACATGTGCCCACATCTACTGTAGGTCATTTTAGGAAGTCGTCCAACTTCACACTCAGGAGGAGCTGAAAAGCCATGTGGGCGCCAACACCCCCAGCCCCACACACAAGGACAGAGCCCAGCTTGGGTTAGCGCACTCCGGGTGACCTGCCCGCCCCGCCCACTCTCCACAGTACACACAAGCGGCCAGACATCCTGAAAGGGAAAGCCAAGCCATCCACTGCAGAGCCAAGGTGAACAGCAGCTGGGCTGGGTGCAGGACCTACACCTCTGCCGCACACACGTGCTTGCCGGCTGACACTCCCCAGACTACAGACCAGAAACGCAACAGCCCACCCTCTAGCCCCCGGGCTCACCGTGGTCCAGAATTTGTTGCTGTTCTTCAGAACAAACTGTCCGGAGGCGACCACCCTATGGGGAGGAGCTGAAGAAAGCCAGAGCTCCTGCAACGGCCTGTGGGCTAAGCGTCGTCGACTCCAGGAGCTCTTTGCTTGGTCCACAGTCCAGGCACAACTGACGGGTCTGTGAGTTGATTTCCTGTAAGATGAAAATCCTTCTGGGAAAAGGACTCCCAGTTTATCAGGCTTCCCAAGGGTCCATGACACCAAAAGGCAGCAGGAGAAAGACCCCACAGCCAGAATCACACGGCTCCATCTCCTCTATGCAACGGCCAGACCCACACCCACACCACACCTCCATGCCCAGCACGGTCAAGAGCTTACCACGAGGCAGATATATCCAATCCCAACCCTTTTATGCACATTGTACTTGCTATTGTAATAATGTTACTTGACATTGTGTAAACTAATAAAACAAAAGTAAAGAAAGGTTGCTTCTTCAAAACTAAGTAGGTGGCTTTGGATAATAAAGCAATAAAGGCAAATAGCTAAAAAAAAAAAAGTCAAACTGAGTGAGAAAATTCTAAAAGTAAAAAAAAGTCATAAAAATACAGAAAATATACTCAGCTTGCTTTGCTTCTAAGTTCTCACTTCATTTAGAGGAACAAAACTGTAGATAACATGTGGTGGGTTTTTTTGTCTTTTTTTTTTTTTTTTTTTTTTTTGGGGAAAACATGTTTATGGAGGACATTTTTTTTTTTTTTTTATATGCAGGACATTTAACAAAAGATTTCTGTCACTGGAACCAAACTGGAAGGAAGGGCTGGCCTGGAAAAGACCAATAAAGGGATATGCTTGTGCATTCAGTGAACCCAAACACAACTCTCACACAGGTTTATACTGTTCCCAGGACACTAGAGTCTCACAGTTCAAAAAAGTGAACTCCCTGTGGTTTCAATCAGACCATTCTGGCCTGACAGATGCTACTTCCCGTGACTGATAAAATACACACTCTCTACCAAAAGCTAAGTGGTCCCGCATCTGTGCACACTGAACCATACTAGGCTCTGGCTTTGACTTGGCACTCAGAGCACTATCACATTTTCTGAGATCAGTTCCTCTGGAATTTTGACTCCTAAGTCCTGATACTGCTTGGGATTCTCCAGGAAATTCACAAACTCCATAATCTCCAACTTGGCCTCTTCACAACCAACTACATCCAAAAATCACATGTCCACACTGTTCCTCAAGACCCTGGGCAGGTGTCTCCCCAGCACGGATGAGGCCCCCTCAGGACCCGCCACACCCAGCCCCCATTAGGACCTTCCTCACAACACAGAGGAGGATACCCCCTAGGAGAAGGCGGGGGGCACCAGGCTTTGCAAGAAAGAGCTGGAAGATCCAAGAAAACCCTTCGTCAGTTTCCTTGGGAGAAAGGCTGTGAAGAGCAAAATGCTTTGACGTCTGGTTCTGCCATACAAGGGAGCAGTTTCCTCTACAAAGGAGCAAAGCCTGGGGTCACCTGGGTGGCTCAGTAAAGCAGATGACTTCAGCTAAGGCTGTGATCTCGGGGTCCTGGGAGTGTGCCCCAAGTCAGCCCCCAGTTAGGCCAGCAGCCCCTGCATTCAACAGGGAGTCTGCTTTCCCTTTCCCTCTCTCCCTCTGCCCTTCCCCCAACTCATGCCCTCCTCTCTCTCTCAAATAATCGTTTTCTAAGCTTTTTTTTTTTTTTAAGATTTTATTTATTTTGACAGAGAAAGACAAGGAGGGAGAGAGAGAGAGAGCACAAGCAGGGGGAGCGGCAGGCGCAGGGAACCCGATATGGTTCTAAGCCAGGACCCCAGATCATGACCTGAGCCGAAGGCAGACACTTAACTGACCAAGCCACCCAGGCGCCCCTCAAATAAATAATCTTAAAAACAAAAACAAACATGTCCGAGCCTAGACACAGCATGCAGCCCTCCCCCCATCCTGAGGCTCTCAGCCCACACACGTCTGTCTGCCCAGTCTCACCTGGAATTGGCCTGTGGGGTTGGGAGGATGGCCCCCACCAGACTCAGCACAGCCTCCTCTCAGCGGAGCCCTACCCAGCCCGCGACAGTGTGTCTTTAACACTGCCTTGCTAAGTGTTTCCCCAGCCAACTCTTTCCTCGATAAAAAAAAGAGTTAATGTTGACTACACACTGAACCAGCAGACGCCTGTAGTACATGCTTAAAGGAAGTGAGCTCCACAGCCCGTCAGGCACTGAGCTGTTCCCCAGACTGGAGCCCCTGCCGCTCGACTGCCCTTCTCGGCGGTAGAGACCCTTGCGCCGGGCTGGGGGCTTCAGCACCAGCTCCCGTAAGCAGCCTCCAGGCTCACTCCCAGGTGTCAGCACCACCGATGCTGGGCCACACAAACTGCCCCAGGACCCAAGAAGCGAGAGCAGATTCAGGTGGCCGTCCACAGCCGTGGCCTCCTCCCAGCTCCTCCTCCTTCAACAGAGCCAGAGTCTAGCCTCTGTCGCGGCCCCCAAACCAGAGGCTCTGGTTTGGTGTGAATGACAAGCTCCAACAACCACTCGACTTTGCCTCCGTCCCTTCCTTCTTGTCCTGATGGTGTTCTCGCCACCTCAATCTTGGCTCGTGGTTCTCACGTGTCACTTGACAAACCGAATCACAGTGACGAGTCCTACACTGGGACAGTGCCCATCCTGGAACACGGCTACAGATACCTGCCAAAGCACTAAAACACTACCATCACACAGGCTGCTATTCAGTAGTGAAACCAGGAGATGCATTCTTCTGGAAAAAAAAAAAACAGAAAACTTTACATTATATACTTTACATTAAAAAAGCAAAAACAGGTGTCTTCTTCCTGGCTTGTCTTCAGCGTTTTTGTTCGTAGAGCGGCCAATGGCAAGATGTCTTCGGGAAATGCCAAAACTGGACATCCCGCCCCCAACTTCAAAGCCACGGCTGTTATGCCAGATGGCCAGTTCAAAGACCTCAGCCTATCTGATTACAAAGGAAAACACGTTGTGTTCTTCTTTTACCCTCTTGACTTCACCTTTGTGTGTCCCACGGAGATCATTGCTTTCACTGACAGGGCAGAAGAATTTAAGAAACTCTACTGCAGGGGCACCTGGGTGGCTCAGTGGGTTAAAGCCTCTGCCTTCAGCTCAGGTCATGGTCCCACGGTCCTGGGATTGAGCCCCACATCAGGCTCTCTGCTCAGCAGGGAGTCTGCTTCTTCCTCACTCTCTGCCTGCCTCTCTGCCTGCTTGTGATCTCTGTCAAATAAATAAATAAAATTTTTAAACAAATAAATAAATAAATAAAATCTTTTTTAAAAAAAAAAGAAAGAAAGACAGAAACTCTACTATCAAGTGATTGGTGCTTCTGTGGATTCTCATTTCTGTCACCTGGCATGGATCAACACACCCAAGAAACAAGGAGGACTGGGGCCCATTAACATTCCCTGGGTATCAGACCCCAAGCGTACCATTGCTCAGGACTATGGAGTCTTAAAGGCTGATGAAGGCATCTCGTTCAGGGGCCTCTTTATCATTGATGATAAAGGCATTCTTAGGCAGATCACTGTAAATGACCTACCCATCGGCGGCTTGTGGATGAGACTCTGCGACTGGCTCAGGCCTTCCAGTTTACCGACGGCATGGGGAAGTGTGCCCAGCTGGTTGGAAGCCTGGCAGTGATACCTTCAAGCCTGATGTCCAGAAGAGCAGAGAATATTTCTCTAAGCAGAAGTGAGCGTTGGGCCATTTTAGGGCTGGGCTGCAGTGGGTGGCCATGAAACCAAAATCTCTTTTGTACTATTGTCATACTTAAAACACAAGACTTTCGACTTTGTGCAGATGTGGTATGGGACGGGACAGGCCTTTCCTGCAGGGACTGGGGAGACCAGCCTTTCTTCCTCTGGAGAAAATGGCCTGAACTGTGTTACAGGGCAGGCCAACTGTGATGTACAGTAGTAGGGCAACACTTTTGATCTTCCGTTGTTTCTATTAAACCTGAACTGAGAAAAACATAAACATTAAAGTTAAAAAATTAAAAAGCAAAAACAAAAAACACCCTACTGCGGGAACGTTTACCCCTGAACCTGCCCCTCACCTCAGATGCCGTCCCAGGGGCAGGAATGACAGGCACAAACCGTTTGTCCATGTAAGACAGAGAACAGCAGAGGTGACACACAGGGCACTGAGCAGCTAACCACGGGCCTCCATGCTCGGTCACAGCCCACAGGCACAGCCCACAGCTCTGTCATGGCCTGCATTCGGCAGACAGATGGGTATCGGCTGTCGCTCTCCTAATAACAGGAACGCTTTCAGCCAGCAATATGAACCTATTTCCATTTTGATACACAGAAACCAATTCAGGAGCAGGAATGGAAGCCTGGTATGTCCAGGCGTTAAGACTGCATACTGTCGGGCGCCTGGGCGGCTCAGTCGGTGAGGCCTCTGTGGACGGCTCAGGTCATGATCTCACAGTCCTGGGATCAAGCCCTGCACTGGGCTTCCTACTTGGCAAGGAGTCTGCCCCTTGCCCTGGCTCGTGCTCACTCCCCCTGCCTCCCTCTCTCCATCTCTCTCTCTCAAATAAATATGTATTTTTTAAAAATCCAAAAGGCATGCAAACAGTCTTACACTAAGTACGGTGCCATGTAACAGCCAGAGCGGATTCAGGAAACTTCCGTCCACCCGATGGCAGCCACCGCAAGAAAACAGTGCCAGGGAGAAGGAAAATTCAGTCCCAAAGGCCCACAAGCTACCCCCAGCCATCCACAAGCAGACATGCCCTTCTGGGAAGCTCTTCAAAGACACAGTTCAGGGGCAAGCCCCGTTTCATTTTGCTATTCACTTGCTCTCAAAAGCATCTCAAACCATTACAACATAGCTCTTTCTGGAAAGTAAGTAAAGACTCAGGGTTGTGTGATGAGGACGTGTTCCCAGCTCCAGCATCTCATGACTGCCCCACAAAGCTTGATGGTCCCATTGTACAGCCTAATACTCGCTAAAGAAGGTCCTCAAAGAAACCCAACAGCTCACCTTCTCTTCTGACACAAACTCCCCAGGCGGTAAGACCCCAACAACCCTCACAGTCATGAGACAAGAACTGGGGGCATCCTCACAGCCCCCCTCAGGCTCCAGTCTCTTTCTGTCTGGATCACTCCCCAGGTGACCTGTCTTAATTTCTCCAACACAGCACACTATCATCTGTGTGTACAGCTCAACATGGGGAAGCCAGGGACGCAGGGGACAAAACAGGCAAGGAGGGTCGCAATAAAAGCTCACCCTCACTTAGTGCAGGATGCTCCTTCTTTATACTTTTATTTATTTCCCAAATATTTTTTGTCATAGGCATGAAATATATTTTAATTAGATAAAACAGCAAAGCTATTTTAAATCAAAGATTGCTGCTTAAGTTTCAGGATACTGTAGTTTCTCATTCCCAAATAAGCCCTTCACAAAAGGCTATCTGTTCCAGATCATGGGCATGGAAACGCATCAGGGGCTCAGGGGTGGCTGTGTGGAAATTTCCTCACTTCTGGGACACGCTGTGAGATCACAACTCCGGAAGGGGCAGAGGGCCGGGAGACAGTGCAGCAACCCCCACTCTCGGCTGGACTTTCCCAGCCCACACGACAGTTCCTCCAAGTACACGGGAGAGGGCATGTGGACGGAGCCTGGGGAGAGTCTGCCACCACTGTGCACCAGAGGGACTGAGCACAGGACTGCATGAGGCAAGCCGGGGAGGAAACACTCCACCCTTCAGTCCTCCGACCTGTGCCTCAGAACAAGCATGTCACTGTCAGCCATACCAGACCTCAGCAGAACTCTGGAATCCATCCAGAACACAGACAGGGGAGGACCCACCCCTCCTCTCCTGCAGAGGCAGGCCCTTGGGAGACAGGAGTGGCAGCTACCATTCCCCTCCCCTGTAGGGAGCAAGGGCCTCTCTGAGGACAGACACGTGGACAGACAACAAAGACCTCAACCATAATGCCTGGTGGGAAACCATGGTTTCCTACAAACACCATCACATAGGATTCCTGATCTTAACAGTGTGGTGTTTAAGGTAGCGGGCAAAGGTGGACTAAGCCCTCTGCTCCTCCTGAGGTTTACACTCACTTCGCCCATGCTCAGCACCCCAGAGAAGCGGAAGGCACTGCCAGCCCGCACAGAGCCTGGAGTCGACAGTCGGGTCTGTCCTGCTTGGGGGCGACAGGGCAGGACTACACGTCACAGCCAAGGAACGAGGAAGTCAGGCCGTGGTGTGAAAAGGACATGCACCCGGGAGGAAAGTGGGCATGACAGTGTTCAGTAAGGTAGTTCCTGGAAGAAGTCCAAGGGTGTCTTGTCCATACCCCAAGGCTGGGGCTTCTCAGGGCTAGAACTTGCAGAGCACATGCACGTGCACACACCACAGGGGTAAACAGACTGTAAACTCCCCTCGCCAGACCTCTTGCCAGGGACCACCGCACGACGTGCTTCCAGGTGATTTTCTTCCCAGAATCCAGCCACTGAAAAGTCCCATGGCAACACCGGCCCCCAAAACACCAGACTGCGGAAATCCTTGTCATCCCCAGGGAACACCCCCGTGGGACAAGAGAACACAATTCTACGGTGCGACAACAGCGGGTCCTTCATCAAACTGTAATTTCCTTCTTCAGACATTATGAAAGACATCAACCAAACATGCCATCCTCACACTCCACCACCGGACCTCTGTGTGGGTGAAGTCAAAGCCGGTCCTGGTGGGAAAGGCATCTGCGTGGTCCGCAGGAGCACACCAGAAGCAGCGGCTCAGCAGACCACCCAGGAAAAGCAGAACCTCCGCGAAGAGCCAGCATTTCTGCGGCTATCTCTTATCAGAGGCTTTTCTTTATGTATTTATTACGTTCCGTTGGCCAGCATACAGCACATCATTAGTTTCTCACGAAGTGTTCAACGATTCTTTAGCTGCGTGAAACACCCAGTGCTCATCACAACAGGTGACCTCCTTAATACCCATCCCCCGGTCACCCCATCCCCCCACTCCCCCCCTTCTCTAATGCTCAGTTTGTTTCCCAGACTCCAGAGTCCCTCACGGTTTGTCTCCCTCTCTGATTTCCTCCCATCTGGTTTTCCCTCCCTTCCCCTGTGGGAACCACCCTGTGGTCCTCCACACCATTCCTCATGTTCCACACGAGTGAAACCATATGGTAACATCTGGGTCTTTTAAAATTCAGATGGAAAAATAATAAAAATTTTAAAAATAAATAAATAAAATTCAGATGGGGAAGCCCCTAGGGGTATCAGTCAGTTGTGTCTGACGTCAGCTCAGGTCATGGTCCACCTCAAATAACATGGCATTCACCCCTCTCCATTACCTTCTCTTCATTTTCTACTTCCCTTCTTCTACTTCCTTTCCCTTTGCACCTCATTTAACCACCTAACACGCCATGGGACCCGCTTTTGTCTGGTTCTCCTCTTGTACAGCAGGGATAGGACAGCAAGATCACCAAAAAGAAAATACCTGCATGGAAGCCTCCGGAACATAAGCTTCCCTTGAGAAGTGTTAATGCTAGGGCTCCTCTTCTAACTATACAGCAGATCGCGACTGCGTCTCCAGCTTTGGCACACCCTCTTCAGTCTACAAATAAGGCAGAGCAGCCCATGCGGCAGGGCGCTTGCCGGTCCTGTAGACCCTGATGTCGCCAGCTTGTTGATGCTCAACAGATGAATGACTCAGTCTGTGGAAAAAACGCCAAGATCATCCAAGCTTCTTCATAACTAAAACTTCCATGAGGTCCACAGAAGTTCAGTGACTCGTGACACACGTGTGCGGTCCATCAGCTACTGACTTCCACGGTTGAACCAGAACAGCCCTCTGCAATGCTGAGATGCCAAAGGTAAAAGGCTCTGTTGTCACTGATATTTCTAGAAACAAAACTGACTCCCACCACCTCCAGAATGAACAGGGATGAAAGGGAAACGTTTACTACTGAAGCCAGGACAGAAAATGAATCCATGAAATCCTTCTTCCTCTTTCACTACTGTCTGACAACCACGATATTTTTCTTGGATCAAAATTCAGAAACTCCGTGTTTGTGCATTAGGAAAAAAAATAAGTCAACGGGATCGCTGCCCCCGGGCTGCATCAATCAATACAGAAACAGAACGCGGGCGCCTGTGGCTCAGCAGCAGAGCCACCCACTCTCGGTTTCGGCTCAGGTCATGATCTCACGGGTCCTGAGAGGGAGCCCTGCCTCAACCTCCTCGCTCAGCGGGGCATCTCCTTGAAGATTCTGTCCCCTGCCTCCCCCTGCCCTTGCTCTCTCTAAATCTTTTTTTTTTTTTTTAATTTATTCATTTGAGATAGAGCAGGAGCAGCGAGAGACGGAGAAGCAGGCTCCCCGCCAAACCGGGAGCCGGGCGCGGGGCTCGATCCGAGGATCTCGGGATCATGACCCGACCCGAAGGCAGACGCTTCACCAACGGAGCCCCCCAAGGCGGCCCTATGATAAATAAATCTTAGAAAGAAAGAAAGAACTAGAACCACCTTAAAACACGGCATTCTATTCCTCGTCTCTAAGCCCGGGAAAGGCCCACGCTCAGGAGTCCCGGGAGGCGGAGGCGCCGGAGCAGGGCAGACCTGAACTGCAAGGGAAGGAAAGCCCCTGGCCAGTTCCAGTCTTACACTTCCTCTCCAGCGTAAAACGGACTTTAACACTCACAAGGGGGCCGCCCGCGGAGGCCGCCGCTAAGCCCGCTCCTCCGTTCCCCCGGCCTCTAACCCCGGCACGGCCGGCGCAGCCGGATGGCGTCACCGCGGCCCTCACCCACCCTACCCCACAGCCGGGCGGCCGGCTCAGCCGGATGGCGTCACCACGGCCCCTACCCCAGGACGGCCGGCACAGCCGGATGGCGTCACCGCGGCGTTTAGCGCCTACCCGCCGCCGCCGGACACCGGCGGGTAGAACCTCCCTGCTCACCTGCTAGGCTGTTCCGAGGGCCATCACGCCCGTGCCTCGCCGTCCTGCCGCGTCTCGGGCCACCGCCGCCCCCCGCCTGTGAGACAGCCCCCGCCTCGGACCTCGCTCCGCCCGGGCGCGCCCTGGCGCACAACAGCGCCGCATCCCGGAGCCGGTCCCCGCGCGCCGGAGGCCTCGCGCGTGCGCAGTAAGGGCCCGGCGCCCGCGCGGGACCTCTCCGCGCGTGCGGACGCTACCACGTGACTTTTCAGGGACCGGAACGCGCGCGCTGTCTTGTCCCACCCAGGCGGTGGCGCGCAGAAAGCTCGGCGACCCGCTCGGGGGCCGGACGCTGGGGCTGCCGACTGATTTTCGGCCGGGCGCCTCCCAGGACACAGACTTACCGGGTCCTCCAGAGGACGCGGCTCACGGCCGCGCAGAGAACAGTCCCGCTCCGGCCCCCGTCCCCGGCCGCTGCTGCCCCTTCGGGAGCCGCGTCCCCGGCCGCTGCTGCGCGTCCATGCGCGCCTCAGACGAGGGCTCCGACTCGGGCTGTGCTGGGCCGCACTAGCCCCTTTCACCGACTTGTTTTCGGGTCACGGGGCCCGCCCGGCTCTCATGTTCCTGCAGACCGGCTGCCCGCCAAGTGGACGCCCCGACACCGCAGGCCCACGCCGCCTGCCTGCCCGCCGAGCGGGAGCCAGCCGGTTTCTGCGACAGCGGGCCCGGCTGGCCTTTGCTGACCTTGTCACGGCTCCTGCCTGCGCCTCCTGGCAGCACATTTCTTCTCCCAGGTTTAGCCGCGGAGCATAGAGTAGCCACGAGCACACTGGCACGTGAGACTGCTGTGATTTTACTGCATTTTGGAGGCAAAGATGCCTGGGAAACGGTCCCTGAATGCAGCGGTCATCCCACATGCCAAAAGGGAACGGAAGGCAGTTACCCTGGACCTAAAATTGGAAGTCTTAAGACGATTTGAAGTGGGTGAAAAGCTCAGCCAGATCGCAAAGGCCTTAGGCCTCGCTGTTTCTACCGTGGCTACAATCCGAGATAATAAAGAAAAAATCAAAGCAAATTCACAGGTAGCTACTGCCTTGAGAGCCTCCCGGTTGACTCGCCACCGAAGTGCCATCATGGAGACCATGGAGCGCCTGCTGCACGTGTGGCTTGAAGACCAGAGCCAGCGAAACGTGCCCCTGAGTGTCACCATCATTCAGGAGAAGGCCAAGAGTTTGTTTGATGACCTGCAGCGTGAAAGAGGCGGAAGGTCTCCCGCAGAGAAATTCAGTGCAAGCAAAGGGTGGTTTGTGAGATTCAAGGAGCGCCACAGTTTGCCCCACTTCACGGTGAGCAGCACAGCGCCGGGACACAAGGACGTGTATCCAGAAGTGCTGAGAAGCATCATCGAAGGAGGTGAGTACAGCCCTCAGCAAGTTTTCAATGTCGATGAGACAGGGCTTTACTGGAAGAGAATGCCTGAAGGAATGTTTATTTCTGTGGAAGAGAAAGCCGAGTCAGGCTTTAAATCTTCCAAAGACCGCTTGATGCTGCTGCTTGGTGGCAATGCAGCTGGGGACTTTAAGCTGAAGCCCTTACTGGTGTACCACTTGGAAAATCCCAAGGCTCTGAAAGGGTACTCTAAGCCCAATCTACCTGTGATCTGGCGCTCAAACAAAAAGGCATGGGCAACCAGGACCATCTTTCAGGAATGGTTCACATACTTCTTTTGCCCTGCCATAGAAAAATACTGTGCCCAAAATCATCTCACCAACAAAGCGCTGCTCATCCTAGATAATGCACCGTGCCACCCGGTAAATCTGGGTGATCTGTCTGATAACGTAAGAGTCGAATATCTTCACGACAGAACCGCCGACTTAGTCCAGCCCATGGGTCAAGGCATAACCTCTATCTTCAAAGCTCATTACATGAGAAGAACTTTTGAGCACATCCTAGAAGCAACAGATGGAGAGGACACAGCCATGATCAGGGAGTTCTGGAGAAACTACAGCATCATGGATGCTGTAGACAACATTGCAGTGGCTTGGGAGGAGCTCAGACAGGCAACAATGAACAGTGTGTGGAAGAAGATTTGGCCGGAGTGTGTTCAGTTCCAGAGTGTTTCCCAAACAGATAACGTTGCACAGCTTCAACAGAACATTGTGACCCTGGCCAGGAACATGGCTTTTGAAGAGGTTGTAGAAGCCGATGTGGACCAGTTGCTGAGGTCCCACGAGGACGATCTCTCAAACGAGGAGCTGATGCAGCTGGAGCAGGAGCCCTCGGGAGAGGAGGAGAGTGAAGATGCCGCGCCCGCCCTGCGCCAGCTAACCGCAGGAGAGCTATCCACAGCCTTCTCACATTTCGAAGCAGGCTTGCGAGTCCTTGCCAGTAACAGCCCTGGTGACAAGTGGAAACTGCAAGTCTCAAGAGCAGTCAGCGAGGCAATTAACTGCTACAGGGAACTGTACAGGGAGAAGCAGCAGCGCTCAGAGCAGCTCTCCTAGGTCCTTTCTCCGTGGTGCAACCATGTGCTCGTCAGAAGAAAGCCGGTAGTAACAAGGTGACCCCAGGGGATGAGGCCCAGCCACGCCTCTCGACTTCTAAGATGCCTTACATCCCCGGAAACTCTGTTCCTGATGTTTTCATTTTGACACTTGACAGTATCAAATTTTGTCATTAAAATTTCATTCAAATACGTACTTTAGAATAATTGCATGCAAGAATACCCAGGGAAATGTTTCTTTAAAAAGAGAATAATGCGGGGCGCCTGGGTGGCTCAGTGGGTTAAAGCCTCTGCCTTCGGCTCAGGTCATGATCCCAGGGTCCTGGGATCGAGCCCCGCATCCGGCTCTCTGCTCCACAGGGAGTCTGCTTCTCTCTCTTTCTGCCTGCCTCTCTGCCTACTTGTGATTTCTCTCTGTCAAATAAATAAATAAAATCTTAAAAAAAAAAAGAATAATGCAAAGAGGAGAGTAGCCCTTCTGCACATGAAAGCAAACTATAAAACTTCTGTGATTAAATCAGGGTGGTAGTCAGACCTGTGAAATAAGATAGAAAGCCCAGAACTTTTTTTTTTTTTAATGGTGCTAGACAACTGGTTAATCATTTAGAAAAACATAAAATTAGATCCATGCCTCACGGGATACATAAGAATCAACAAACGGGTCACCTGGGTGACTCAGTGGGTTGGGCCTCTGCCTTTGGCTCAAGTCATGATCTCAGGGTCCTGGGATCAAGCCCTGCATGGGACTCTCTGCTCAGCAGGGAGCCTGCTTCCCCTCTCTGCCTGCCTCTCTGCCTACTTGTGATCTCTGTCTGTCAAATAAATAAATCTTTAAAAAAAAAAAAAAAAAGGAATGAACAAACAGGCCAGGGATCCAAAAGTAAAAATTGAAACCATACAAATACTACAAAAACACATAGATGACTGCCTCTTTGACCTGGTCGCTGGGAAATTATCTGCCTTAAAATGCAGATAAAATAAGAAAATTTCATCAATTTGACCATATAAAAATGTAACAAAAGAACTTTTTCACGGAGGAAACATCACTACAAACAAAGTCAAAAGCAGTTAACAAACTGGAAGAAAATAGTGGCAACATCTCACAGATAATAGGCTAATATCCCTGACAGGTGAAGAACTCTTAGGATTAAGAAGAAAATACCAAAAATCCAACAGGAAAGTGGACCAAGAATATAACTCATAAGTCTATAAATTAGATCTTGAAGCATATGAAAGATCATTCATAATGAGAGAAACGCAAATTAAAGCTACATGGACATCTTACTAATAGTGGGAAAAAGAAAGTATGACTACATGTTGTGTTGGTGAGGCTCTGGGCTAACAGGCATCTGAAACGTTGCTGATGGGAGTGCAGACTGGTATGGCCTTTATGGAGGGATGCTAGACATTCCTAGACCCCCACAGATACACTGCCAACCAGAGAAAATACGTGTGCACAGGTTACTCATTGCATGCTTGTTTGTAACTGCAGAAGTGAGGAGACAGCCTGAATATTCATCTGTAGCAGAGTGCTGAAACATCTCATGGCTGTTACACACTAGGGACTACAGGTTTAAGAGATGGTAGCACCAGTAACAGAGGAAGAACTGCCAGGAGTGGTTTCCAGGGTATGCTAATAATTGACAAAAGCAACCGGCAAGAGTAGTACCTGCCGTTTTTGTGAAAGAAAGAAGGGGGGAAAGGAAATAATATATGTATCTTACTCATTTTTGCAAAAAGAAACACAGGAAGGAGAAACCAGAGACTAAAGAGATTGGTTACCTGGTGGGGGAAGGAGTGGAAAGGGGCAAAGGAATGGGGGGTGTTGGAATGTGACAGGCCTTTCATAACGTTCCTTTAATATTTTCTTTTTAAGGGGCAACTGGGTGGCTCAGTTGGTTCAGCATCTGCCTTCAGCTTGGGTCATGGTCTCTGCGTCCTGGGATTGGGCACCATGTCGGGCTCCCTGCTCAGCCGGGAACCTGCTTCTGTCTCTCCCTTTGCCCCTTTCCCCGACGTGTTCCCTCTCTCTCTCTTAAATAAATAAATGGATAAAATATTTAAAAACAAAGGTTTTCTTTTTAAGTAATCTCTACATCCACTGTGGGACCCGAATTCACAACCCCAAGATCAAGAGTCACAGGCTATACCAACTGGGTCAGCTGGGCGCCCTGGCCTTTGGTGAAGTTCGGACTGTGGGAATCATGTTAATGTATCACACAAGTAAAGCAGGGAACTAAATCCAAATGGAGTATATGAACGGAGCCATATTTCACATGAACTCCATACCCACAGTGAAGAAGGGGAAACCCCAAAGTCCATTTTGAATACCCTGTGTTTTGACTATATGCCCTCAGGCTAAAGCCAAGCCAGAACTTGTTAAACAACTATTAAACTCTAGTTAGTAAGCTGTGTTTTCACAGAGGCATAGGTTGGCAATGCTGACCGTACTTTGTGTTCTAGGGTTGAGCAAATAAATACTTATGGGTAACGAAGCCAGGTTTCTGTCCAGAAGGGAATCACAAATATGAAAAAAGGGAAAGAATCGCGTGGTGTTGCTTTGCAATCAGAAGTATCCGTGTGAACTCATGGTTTTTAATATGTTTCTGAAGAACAAGATATTGACGTACAGAGTACAGTTTTCTAACTGTCTGCTGAAAGGACCTAGAAGCACTGAGCCCTGGAACACATCACACCCCACAGCCGCCATTCTCCACCAACCAGCCTTTGGGTTCTTGGAGAAATGTCTGGTTTCAGGACTAGGACCAGTTAAGTGCAAAGCAGCTAAGAACAGCTTACAATGCTGGAAGGTGCGGTGCCCACAGGGTGACAGGAACAGATCAGGACACAGGAGACGAGTCGATGAAAGCCAGCATCTCCAGGAGTGGGACAGACAGTGCACTGAGGACACAGCATCATTTTCAGGGAATTCCCACCCAAAGTGCAAAGCCCGGATCTTATCAGAAAAATCCACATTGAAGAATATCCTTCAAAATAATTAGTTTGTGGTGCACCTGGGAGCCTCAGTCAGTGAAGTGTCTGCCTTCGGCTCAGGTCATGACCCTGGGGTCCTGGGATTGAGCCCCACATCGGGCTCCCTGCTCAGTGGGGAGCCTGCTTCTCCCTCTGCCTGCTGCTCCCCCATTCGTGCCGCTCCCATCAAATAAATTCTTAGAAAAAAAAAATTTAGCTTGTGTCTTTTTAAAGTATCCGTGTCACACACCCTTCCAAAATAAAGACAGTGAAATATACCTACCAGCTGAATGGCAAAATCTGAATAAATTTTGTTGTAGTCTACGATATCATGTCAGTGTTAGTTTCTGGGGAGAACTGAGCTGTGGCTGTGTGATTCCCTTGTTTGGGAGGAGCAGACACAAGTATTTACAGGCCAAGGGGCATGATCTCTGCAACTGATGGTCAAATGGTTGAAAAAAAGAATATAGCAAATGGGAAATGTTAGTATTTAGGGAATCCAGGAGGTGAGTAAATGGGAATGTTTTTGCAATGTTTCTGTAAACCTAAGTTTGTCAAAATACAAATGGGAAAAACACTATGGCATCACCTGAGAGAGAGACAGTATACTTTATCTTTCCTGGAGTACCCCAGGTGTAGCTCTACACCTTTGTCATGGGGGCGTGTGCTTACACATGCCGGCACCAGGCCCACAGACGGCCGGCGCACACTGTTCATGTGGCTCTCCGCTTTCTGTAGGCATAGAGTTGCAGTCTGTCAGCCTATCTGAATTGTAGCTGGGTGTGGATGGTGTGCAAAGAGTCCTAAAGCAGAAGACTCCCTATGTTCTCTGGGTCATGGTCCCTTTGAGATCCTGGTCACAACTGTAGATCATTTCTCTGCAAACAATGTACACAGGAGCTCGAAGGCAATCTGGGAGGGAGGCAGTTATGGTCCTCCTGAAGACCAAGGGAATGGTCTTAAATTGCAGTGAGGGCCTTTTTGGCGTCTAGCTTGTGCAAGAGGCTGCCGGGGGCTGGTCCTGTGACTTGCACGGCCATCCAGTTTCTCAGTGACGGCCTTGGGTTAACAAGAGTCCACAATGAGGACTCTAGAAGACCGAGCATTATCTGGATGCCAGGCCCTGTGCTCAATGCTTCCAAAACCCTAAACACCCCACAAGGTATGTGTTCTCACCATTCACAGAAATGGAGCTGACAGGGAGCCACAAACTTGGCCCTCTGATTCCCATCAAGAACTTCTGCCCAGAACAGATCACATTTGACCCCACTGGATGGGGAAGACTGGGCTTTTCCAAAGCCTGCACTTGGGCTGCATGTCAACAAACTGTGCCTTGTCCCCAATTCACCACACGCACCAGAGTGTAGAGAACACGGATTTAATGAGACAGCAGCCGCGGCATTATCATGGCGGGACACCCCTGCTGCTCTCTGTGGAGGGCGGGCCATGCAGACTGGGTCTTGGGGGTCTTTGTACCGTGCTGTGGACTCCAAGACCCGCACACAACTTTGTTTAAAGACTTTGCCATTCCAACAGGGTAAGTGGAAACATTGGGAAGGAGGAAATGGGCTTGGTCAAAAGAAAAGGGAGCCAACTATTTGTCCAGCAGACACCAGTGTATTATTAATGCTTCCTATGGACACAGTGATTGTAACTGGAATAATGTGATGTTTGCTACACAGGAGATACAGGAACGGCCAATGTCCTTGTGACAGAAATGGAACACAGTGGTGAGAAATGTGCAGACTTGGGGGTGTAGGAAAAGGGCATTTGGCCCTTAAAACCCCCTTCAGCCCTGGAGAGGAAGGGGAAGCAGGACGGGGACCTGTCACTGGTCCAACCTCTCCAGTGTTTGCTTCTCACTGTCACCCCGAGGCAGATCAGAACACACCACTAGAGGACTGCCCAAGGCCACCATGGGAGGCTTTCTGATGGTGCAGAGAAGCAAGGAGGGGACACTGTCTTTATCCACCATTCTTGTCAGCCAGCAAGCTAAGCTGACCTTTGTGCCACCAGTCCAAGGTGACAGACATCCAAGGGACTACACTCCACCAGCACCACCCGCGCCCGTCACCTGTGCACATCAGCAGCCAAGCGCAATCCAGGCAAGAGGGCACAAAAGATGAGAGTCACACCATGGAACATTCTCTTCCCACAGACCTCCCCCCCTACGGCAGGGTCTCTGAAGCACAAAACAGCCCCGCAAATACTGAGCCGACTGGCTCCCGCGGTGCAGATCTGGGCATTCTCACCCTCTGTCCTGGGGTTCCATTTGCCA